ACACACAGGGGCGACGATATAATACGTCAGCATGAAAATACAGAATATAGAACGATTTACACAACATTATATCTAAATGAGTTAGTTAAACTATAGAACATGATAAAGAAATTAGTGGGGTCTTTCTTATCAAGACCATTATCAAATGAGTGGTTTCTGGCATATTTTAGCAAGTCTTCGAGGTCTGAAAACTGTGACTCACTTGTTGATTTCTGCTCATTTCTGTTTTAAGATCGGAATTCAACCTCATTCTTATCAATGACCTAAAATTATGGAATAAAATTTGTTATTACTAAGAACCTGAAAGAAAGGAACAAATAAGACAATATCACTGAGAAGTATCAAACGTGAGTTTTGTGCAAACAGGGCATAGATTTCTACCTAAAACAGTAAATTTCTGCAAATATTGGTAAAATTCTAATTATCTCAACAAATCTAATACCACAAGGCTAAAATCTGTAGATACGGTGTGTTAATTAACAGGGGTGAGAAATTGACTGAAAGGTGATTTAATTATCGCTAGGGGTGAATATCTCTGTGACAGTGCATTTTCTGTACTGGGTGTGTCAATTAACGGACGGGTTAAAAACGACTGACACAGTGTGTATTCTTTGTTTGATGAATTTTCTCGAAAGCGTGTTATAACTGCAGCAAAGGAGATTTATCAAGGACCAGCAGGCTTTATCTAACGCATAGGTGTTAAATCTAATTTACCGTGTGATTTCTTGTTCGACCGTGTGTTTTACGCAGATCGGTCTTTGTTAAGTGTAGGTCTTTATACATAGATTTATACGCGGGGTAGTTACGTATATGCTTTCTTATACGTATTTCATTTCTTGATGAATACGTGTTTTATACTTCGTACCATAGTCAGACTGCAGTTATTTATATATTTGATCTTTTTTGTGGGTTTAATTTGTTTACATATTATAGTGCGTACCACTGAACTATAAATGCACGTATCTTAAAATTGATCACACGCAGTATCGTCATTTCCCGATATCCGAACCAACCTCAATTTGATTATCCAATATATTCTAATCTCCATTAACGAATCTGTTTTCGAAGCAGCCATTATAATCATATTTTCATACAAAACTGCTTTTTGCCGATTTACATGACGTCTTCCCGATATATTCGCATTAGGGTATGTTTGATTGCCTTCTATCAACAGCTTAAATGACCCTTCTTGGACAATTGTCAAACGTAAAGAAATCTAACTCTCGGTCCCGAAAAAGAGATGTCGATGTGCGGATTATTGTGAATGTAAATCGAAGTCATGTAATAAAGAAATTCCTGATCAAAGAATGATTATACACGCATATTTCAGACTTTACATCGCATCTGTTGCATGTATAAATTGAAAGCTCGGATTAGACACGGCTCCATGTGTTGCCTAGCTTGTTCTATTTCTAAAGGCATGCAATCACCTTCGGAAATCACTTTGGTGTGTTTTGTTATTTCAGTCGGTTTATTTGAAACGATTTTCATAATAAGCTGTAGTAATTTGTGATTTTGTTTTTACTGCCAATTCTGCTTAATTGTGTGCGCTTCGAAATCTAAAAACTTGATGAAAAACAAATCGTTAATTATGGATTTTTGAATAGGTCTATAGCATGATCTATTTGTTAAAGGCCTGTTAATGCAGTTTAACAATATCTATTACTTGTGTTTTAAGCTAAGGCATATTAAATATGTGTCTGATATACCAAAGATAGGTTGCCAGGCAACGAAACATACGCCCACAGAAGCTAAATCGTCCGAGCAGTCAACAAGAGTTGTCGTCAACAAGAGTTGTCGCATATTTTTACTTTTTTCAGTAATGAAACATTTATAATACATTAAAATCTGATTAAGAGTAACAACTCATTAAGTAATTATCAGAAAACCATTAGAATTTGTTTGGTTTTTATAAAGTTCTGCCTGATGCTAACGTTTACTTTAGTATACGAAACTTTTAACATCATGGATTTAGCTGTTCAAGTCATAAAAATTCATTGAAAATCTCAAGACCTTAAACTCTGTGTATCAATCTGAAGTCAATCGGATGATAACTTTAGCCTCTAGAGTGTCACAAGATTTTTCAAAGTGATCAAGGGCCATAACTCTGGCAGTAATTATTGGAAATCGCTGAAAATGAATAGACTTCTTCGTCTCATGACCTTAAACACTGTGTATAAATTTAAACTCAATCAGATATTAACTTTGGCCTCTAGAGCGTCCACAAGATTTTTTGAAGTGATCATAGGCCATAACTTTGGCAGTAATTATCGGAAATCGCTGAAAATCAATAGACCTTAAACACTGCATATAAATAAATTTAAAGACCATCGTATATTAACTTTAGCCTCTAGAGTGTCCACAAGAATTTTTAAATTGATCAAGGGCCATAACTCTGGCAGTAATTATCGGAAATCGCTGAAAATCATAGGATTCTTCGTCTCATCACCTTAAACACTTTGTATAAATTTAAAGTCAATCGGATATTAACTTTAGCCTCTAGAGCATCCACAAGCAATTGTGGACGCCGGAGGACAGGGGCGACGACAATATACGACCACATTTCAATGTGACCGTGTAAAAATAAATCACATGAATAAATCACAGATGAATAATACAACGATGATTTGAAACAAAAAATCTTCAAGTATATGCGTAAATATGTTTCCCTTTTGTCTAAATCCCATTTATAACTGTTTGATGTCCTTTTGCAGAGCAAAGACTGGTTATTTGGAATGATACCGAGAAATCACTTAAAGCTATTTCAATCAGAGAAAATATTATAAAAACAAGCCAACAGTGAGGCTGATGTCCCCCGCCGAAATTGCAAAATAAATAGATGACACATATTAATTAATCGCACATTTATTTTTTTCACTAAGTTTCATCACTCTCTATCAGATAGAATCAAGATTATCTTGTCCCAAACCATCGACAAATGAAATCGATTAGCTCTGCTTAGCTTCAGCTCGAAATGTTAATTATTGAACTCAGTCAAGACATTCACCTAATGAACATCTACATATACATCAAGTTTAAACATTCACCTAATAGACACCTATGCCAAGTTTGAACATTCTAGCTCAATTAGAAGGAGAGTTATTGTGTTCCAAAGTTTCTACCAATCAAATTGCTTATCACTCTGCTTACCCTCAGCAAAAAATGTTCATTATCGAACTTAGTTAAGGTATTCATATAATAAATCTATACACCAAGTTTCATCAATCTCACTTAATTAGAACTAAAGTTATCGTGTCCCAAAGCATCAACCAATCAAATTGCTTATCTCTGCTTACCCTAAGCGGAAAATGCTCATCTTCGAACTCCATCAAGGCATTGACCTAATCAACACATACACCAAGTTTGAACATTCTAGCTCAATTAGGAAGAGAGTTATCGTGCCCCAAAGTATCAACCAATCAAATTGCTTATCTCTGCTTACCCTAAGCGGAAAATGCTCATCTTCGAACTCCATCAAGGCATTGACCTAATAAACACATACACCAAGTTTGAACATTCTAGCTCAATTAAAAGTTATCGTGTCCCAAAGCATCAACCAATCAAATTGCTTATCTCTGCTTACCCTAAGCGGAAAATGCTCATCTTCGAACTCCATCAAGGCATTGACCTAATCAACACATACACCAAGTTTGAACATTCTAGCCCAATTAGGAAGAGAGTTATCGTGTCCCAAAGCATCAACCAATCAAATTGCTTATCTCTGCTTACCCTAAGCGGAAAATGCTCATCTTCGAACTCCATCAAGGCATTGACCTAATAAACACATACACCAAGTTTGAACATTCTAGCTCAATTAGGAAGAGAGTTATTGTGTCCCAAAAAGTGTGACGGACAGACAGACGGACGGACAGACGGACGGACCAACATCTGGCTACAAGTTGGCTACTTTGTCCCTATCCTTGTTGGGCTCACTTATTGGGTAGGTTTTCATACCTTATTGGGTATATTTTTGTCTTCTTACAATGCGACCCTTATTGGGTTGTGGGTTGTCCAGACCTGTTGGGTAACACTGTCCCAGACACCAATTATCCAGGGTGGGATAAAATTTCACAAAGCTCTTCTAATTTAAATGCGGACTATTTCCAATATGTTGCCTACAGTTTCCAACAAATTTTACTTGTGTTGTATAACCTGACCTGACTCATATTTACATCTACTGCTTAGAATTGAAACTTTGATCGCTTGTGGATCAAATTATAATTGGAATCATCCTTGAAATGTTGCCAGAGAGTAAATACCAGTAAATGATATCCATAAAGCTCAGAGAATTATTTAATTTTACTCAAGCGTGGTCACAAGTGGTCTTTCTATGTTGTTAACTAATCTGTCCATGGATTGTTGGGCTACAGTCCAAGGCTTTCATGGTTGAGTATTTCTTCCTACATTTGGTTCTTTATTGGATACAAATTTGTAGAAAATGTTAGAATACATCAAGAGTTTACAACTATGCAATCACATTACCTTCCCCTTAATCACAATATTAATAAGGGCTGAAAATCAGTAACATTCTCTGTCTACATGTAAGTGATACAATGCTTTAAGCCAAGTTTTAATCAACTGGAACTTGTTACTTAGGGCAAGGGAAATTAATAGGGGTTGAAAATTCATTTAACGCTGAGGAATGATAGGATTTTTGGTCTACTGGTTAGAATGCTTTCATTATAATAAGCATTGTGAATGGTTGTCAATCAAAGTGAAACAGCAAAGCAAGTCATGTGCTGTCGGATATCTGAAAGTGACATATTCATCACATTCAATTACTATATATAATGGGTTTTTTTTTTCAAAATTTTATTGATTAAAGATATGAAATTCAAAAGCGTTTTCAATAAAGCAGCTACAGTACATGTACAAAGGTATTACTAATACACAAACTGGTCAAAACCACTTTAGAAGACCTTTTTTCATATGTGAGGTTGTTTGCATGAGATGCCAAAGAACTTTCTCAGATAAGTCTGTATTATATTATGAACAACAGATTTGAAAGGATCTTTTATTATCTATTTTTGTACATTTCACATATTTGTTATGTTACAGATTTTTTTCCCATTGTCAATTTGACGAAATTAAAGCATGACCCTTGACATCCGGACAATTTTATACTTTGTTGTGTTCGACATCAAATACACTGCACAGGCATGTTAAGCCCAATTTCTAATAAATATTGCACTTTGTATTTGACTGTTGCATTTCATCAAGCTATCAGATTGATGTGACTATGGCATTGGTGGGGTTAATTAGAATAAGCATCAAAACTAGATATATTTGAAGTTTATTTATCTGACAGGAAATATAAAAGAGTATAAAATATGTCTTCACTATGTTATATAATAGTGATTTATGACACTTGTATGAAATGTGTTAAATACGGCGTTGGCATGGTAATATACTCTTGTTTTGACTTTGTTGAAGTCATTTGTTTTGCTATTTTAGTATTTTTATCGTTTTTATTTTTATGTGTATATGCAATTGAACACAGCAGAGTATAATATTGTCCGGATGTCAAGGGTCATGTTTTCTTATTTCGGCAAATTGACAATGAGACTTTAAATAACATCATAAACTTGATGAAGTATCATCTTCAGCCTGCATGTACATTCACTTCTTTTTGATCATGTTCCAGACCTTTTTTTTCAGAGTTTCCCAACTCCTTCTTTTCAAAAATTTACTCTGTTTTATAATGTTTTCACATGCTTCCCGCCCAGGAGTGGCTTTCGTTGCAAAATATTCTTTGAAGAAGTGTCTTATTTCCGTCTCTTCTTCCTTACTCCATCTTACTCTAGTACTGACTGTAATATAAAAAAAATTTAAAAAAAGTCAAAAAAGTGAAAGATAAATGCTCATAAAAAAGCTATGGTAATACTCCAAGTCAGTCTGAACTAGCTTTTAAAGAGTTTTTTAGCCTGAGAGTAATACCCAATTACAATGGTAAATATTATAGTCAATTTTTATTAACCAAGGTTATATTTTTAAAAAAATTATTAATTAAAAGATTCTGGACTTAGTGTTGTGACAATAAACAATTATCGTTCATGCATATTTGTAATATTTCGAACTTTAATGGTGTCCATTTTGATTTCGGTAAAAGACAAAGAATTATCATTACCAGGTGCTCATTTGTACAGCCATTGAGTAAACCAAGTTTCAGATTAAAAGTCAGTCATTGCCGCAAGTGATTTGTGTGTTTAATATATCAAGATTTGACTCTACATAAATATGAAAATTACCATTAGTACTCCTTTTTTTTTTAGGGGTATGATCATAATCGTCATCTTCATCATCATCGGTGAAGCTGAATTCATCCTTACCAGCTTAAAAAATAATAACAATAATAATGAGAATAACAATTGAAGATTTCCTGTTTCATTTTTACTAAAACAAAAGGCTCCCCCTGTTGGCAAAGCTACAGTTCAACCTTGTTTACCTGATTGAACATAAGAATGAGAAAAAACAAGCGTTATTTATTCCCTTATGTTAAATGATAACAAAGTTAAAGCAGCTATGTTGAAGATATCTCACTTTCCACAACCTAAACTGTCATAAAGTTGACATTGACAGCGTTTGACAATCATCAGGCCTTCTTATATGGTAATTTCCGGTTGAGGTCATCACACTACCGTAAATTTAATGACTTAACATTTGTTGACATAATCTAAAACGAAACCAATTCAATCCAAGCCATCGGTTCTCTTTTTTTAAATTATAATTGTACGAATCTATTAATTATATATTACTCTTTCATTTTATCTTCATATTAGCGTGTATTTAGGTGGATTTAAGGACAAACTCGTCTTCAACATAGCCGCTTTAAGCTCTAGACACAAAATTATTTAAAAAATAGTGTTAACCCCTCAAATAACAGGTCACATGCCCCAAATTTTGTATGCGACACATCTTCTTCTGATTGATACATATGCCAAGTTTCATTTACTTATCTTGAATAGTAACAAAGTTATGCTCCGAATAAGTTGACAATTTAAAAAAATGAAGACTATAAGACTCTTTCATATGTGATGGGGGTGGATAGGGAATTCCTCCCGAGGGGGTCATAAATTGGCGTAAAACCTGAGGCTTGCCAAGGTTTTTACCCAAATTTATGATCCCCGAGGGAGGAATGCACTAATCCTTCCCCATCACATATGAATGAGTCTTTTTCTCTCATATTAAAACATTGAACTGCGCTCAAAAGCGTCCGAGATGGTGTCGTATTCCGTCTTTTTTAAAACAGTTGTTATTGACATTTGTCACGCCACACTGAAATAATTACGCTACAAAAAGAAGTTCTGTGATATTTAAAACTAAAGTGGTCTAAAATGGCAACATTCACAAATGTTACGCACTATATTTTAATATATTTGTTAAAAACAAAATAAAAACATCAAAATCGATTGAAGTTTCATGTTTTGTGTGCGTTCCAACAAACATATCACTACGGATGTGACAGGTCATGTAAGAAAGACTCATGTAAGAAAGACCGGGGTAAGATAAGAATTTCCTATATACCCCAAGACCCTGGATACATATATCTTACATGGCTAGATATGAGAGAAAATTCTTTCTTTGGTTGACTGTCCAATTGAGACTTGTAAAAATCATGAAAATTTGGCTTGTATGTGCTGATGGGAAAGATCTATTTGGGCTGATTTTAAATGAAAATGATTTGATTTTCATGTTCACTCTTCAAAGTTTTGGCCGTTTCAATTTACTATCTAGAATCGATAAATTTGTATTTTAAAGAATTTGAATAATTCAGACAAAAACTTTTTATATCAACCATGAAAGAAAAATTTGTAAAAACTTACTATCATTCATAGCAGGTTGAAAATCATCGTCTACATTATCGTTATCAAGATCCAAAGCCTCGGTCAAATCTTGTGTCGATACTACAAAATGAAGACATATAAATTTGATAGGAGTTATTTCGAATCAAAATTAACAACTTGCTTTAACTTAAACCAATTATCATATTTAAATTTCTATTAATTTACAATACAAATAGTCTCTATTGTCTCTTTAAATCAAATTTTAGTATGGTATATGGATTGATGGTTATCTGAGCCCTGTACTTGAATTTTGAAAAAGGTAATTAACAGCTAATTCAGCATAAATGACACAAATTTTCTCATACATGTAGCTTTTGCTGAACCCTGGAAATGCCACATGCACTTCTTGTCCAAATGAACTTTTTTTGTTCAGGAGAATATAGAAAAATGCTTACCATCACAATCATCTACTGTGTGATTAAATACTATTTCTATAAAAGAAAAAGAAGGGAAAAGAATGATTTACAATTGAGAACAAACAAACATAGTTTCTTCTGTTTTAAATTAATACATGTTGTAGTCAAGGATATACAAGAGTATTATAATTATCTTGATTCTGCTGAAGCATTCACATAAATTGGGAAAAACAACTGTTCAAGATTCTCCACTACCCTCACAAATTAACCTAGTTGTCATGATTAGTTAAACATGTGCACCCAATCTTAACTGGTCCGCTGCATTGGAATAAATTGGTATACAATCGATGAGAAACCAGCACTTGAAAGTCTTAATCTGCATATTTTTAGAATTTACTAGTTCAGACAAAGATTTTTTTTGAATAAATACAACCAATGGTTCTTCCTGGAAGATGTTTATGACCTTTAGTTTCATCTGTTAATAGTAGTAAATGTAACTTACATGTTATTCATATTCATAAAATGCATTTTATGTTCTAAATGTGGTAGAAATGATATAGAAATACTAACCATTCAACTGAATGTCTTCTAGTCTTTTTCCTGCATATTTGGAAGTAAGGTTAAACTCTTGCATAAGCATCAGCTTTGCCATATCGATTCTCTCAATTAATCCTGAAGTTTGTCTATAATGCACTCTATGCACATCCATGGAGTGCCCCAAATGGTTCAGTAACCATTGTTGTTGGTTGTTGCTTAGATCGAATATCTGCAAAAGAAAATTTCCACTCTATACTTTATATGAATACTTGTAATAATTTACTCATTTTGGTAGTATGAGCATAACAATAGCAATCGTATCAAAAATGTTTGTGTTTCACTGGATGACAACTCCTTCTGAAAATTGCAGCATTTATTTTTAATCCAAGTTCTAAAAAATTAATCGATCTCTCAGATTAACTTGGGATTCCTTTTCGATTTATAAACGTTGACTATAGGCGCGGTGGTGCGATGATGTCAAAATGTAAATAAGAGCACAGAATATTTGAATGCTCATAGATTCGTGTACAATTGACTGAATTTGAACAATGTCAATGTCAACTTTAGATCAATTATGTTCTCCAGCCCAAAATATCCACAGTATAGAGGCTTTAATAAAAAATAACATTATACAATTAGGTCTTATTCTTACTTGAGCAATTGTAGCTGTATACTTGCGCATGTTTACGCTTGTAATCTTGTGTGGTTTTGATAGTTCAATTTCTTTGCATAACGATTTTAGGCTATCATAAGCTCTCAATACACCATGTCCTGTTAAGTATATAAATACAGTAAGTTAATAAATGAAATTATGAAGTACCTTGTGTGCAATCCTCAATTGTGATTGGTCAATAGCTAAGCAATAAATCACCATTGTATTGAGGAAACTCATAGTATGAACTACTCCAGACACTAAATTGACATACTATTTGTATTTTTGAATGCAGCAGGGTCGATTTCAAAATTGTGGGCCAAAAGCATTTTTGGGGTAACCCGGGAAGTATTGCCCAAACAAAGTCCATTCTAAAAGAAATATACAAAATACTTATAAAATACATTGATAAGTTTTGCACAGTATTCATTCAAATTAGTCATATAGAGATAGATAGCACAAAAAGAGTTGGTTATGAGATTAGGCACCTTTATACAGTTTTACATTGACAATATATTAAAATACTTGAAGCCAATAAAGTTTAGACGTATCTTACTCAAGTGTTGGACTTGGACATAAAATTGTCTAAATTTCTTGGCTACATTCGTCATTGAAAATATTTTAACAGACAGAATTTCATTGTAGAATACTTGAAGCCAATAAAGTTTGGACATATCTTACTCATCAAGTGTTGGACATAAAATTGTCCAAAATTCTTGGTTACATTCTTCATTGAAAATATTCTAACAGACTGAATTTAATTGTAGAATACTTGAAGCCAATAACGTTTAGACATATCTTACTCATCAAGGTTGGACATAAAATTGTTCAAAATTCTTGGCTACATTTGTCATTGAAAATATTCTAACAGACTGAATCTGATTTTAAAATACATGAAGCCATTAACGTTTGGACATAGCTTACTCATCAAGTGTTGGACATAAAATTATCAAAAATTCTTGGCTACATTTGTCATTGAAAATATTCTAACAGACTGAATCTGATTTTGAAATACTTGAAGCCAATAAAGTTTGGACATATCTTACTCATCAAGTGTTGGACATAAAATTGTCCAAAATTCTTGGTTACATTCTTCATTAAAAATATTCTAACAGACTGAATTTGATTGTAGAATACTTGAAGCCGATAAAGTTTGGACATATCTTACTCATCAAGTGTTGGACATAAAATTGTCCAAAATTCTTTGCTACATTCGTCATTGAAAACATTTTAACAGACTGAATTTGATTGTAAAATACTTGAAGCCAATAACGTTCGGACATATCTTACTCAACAAGGGTTGGACATAAAATTGTCCAAAATTCTTGGCTACATTCGTCATTGAAAATATTCTAACAGACTGAATCTGATTTCAAAATACTTGAAGCCAATAACGTTTGGACATTTCTTACTCATCAAGGGTTGGACATAAAATTGTCCAAAATTCTTGGCTACATTCGTCATTGAAAATATTCTAACAGACTGAATCTGATTTTAAAATACTTGAAGCCAATAAAGTTTGGACATATCTTACTCATCGAGTGTTGGACATAAAATTGTCCAAAATTCTTGGCTACATTCATCATTGAAAATATTCTAACAGACTGAATCTGATTTTAAAATACTTGAAGCCAATAAAGTTTGGACATATCTTACTCATCAAGTGTTGGACATAAAATTGTCCAAAATTCTTGGCTACATTCGTCATTGAAAATATTCTAACAGACTGAATCTGATTTTAAAATACTTGAAGCCAATAAAGTTTGGACATATCTTACTCATCAAGTGTTTGACATAAAATTGTCCAAAATTCTTGGTTACATTCTTCATTAAAAATATTCTAACAGACTGAATTTGATTGTAGAATACTTGAAGCCGATAAAGTTTGGACATATCTTACTCATCAAGTGTTGGACATAAAATTGTCCAAAATTCTTGGCTGCATTCGTCATTGAAAACATTTTAACAGACTGAATTTGATTGTAAAATACTTGAAGCCAATAACGTTCGGACATATCTTACTCAACAAGGGTTGGACATAAAATTGTCCAAAATTCTTGGCTACATTCGTCATTGAAAATATTCTAACACACTGAATCTGATTTCAAAATACTTGAAGCCAATAACGTTTGGACATTTCTTACTCATCAAGGGTTGGACGTAAAATTGTCCAAAATTCTTGGCTACATTCGTCATTGAAAATATTCTAAGACTGAATCTGATTTTAGAATACTTGAAGCCAATAAAGTTTGGACATAGCTTACTCATCAAGTGTTGGACATAAAATTATCAAAAATTCTTGGCTACATTCGTCATTGAAAATATTCTAACAGACTGAATCTGATTGTAAAATACTTGAAGCCAATAACGTTCGGACATATCTTACTCAACAAGGGTTGGACATAAAATTGTCCAAAATTCTTTGCTACATTCGTCATTGAAAACATTCTAACACACTGAATTTGATTGTAAAATACTTGAAGCCAATAACGTTCGGACATATCTTACTCAACAAGGGTTGGACATAAAATTGTCCAAAATTCTTGGCTACATTCGTCATTGAAAATATTTTAACAGACAGAATCTGATTTCAAAATACTTGAAGCCAATAACGTTTGGACATTTCTTACTCATCAAGGGTTGGACATAAAATTGTCCAAAATTCTTGGCTACATTCGTCATTGAAAATATTCTAACAGACTGAATTTGATTGTAGAATACTTGAAGCCGATAAAGTTTGGACATATCTTACTCATCGAGTGTTGGACATAAAATTGTCCAAAATTCTTGGCTACATTCGTCATTGAAAATATTCTAACAGACTGAATCTGATTTTAAAATACTTGAAGCCAATAAAGTTTGGACATATCTTACTCATCAAGTGTTGGACATAAAATTGTCCAAAATTCTTGGCTACATTCGTCATTGAAAATATTCTAACAGACTGAATCTGATTTTAAAATACTTGAAGCCATTAACGTTTGGACATAGCTTACTCATCAAGTGTTGGACATAAAATTATCAAAAATTCTTTGCTACATTCGTCATTGAAAACATTTTAACAGACTGAATTTGATTGTAAAATACTTGAAGCCAATAACGTTCGGACATATCTTACTCAACAAGGTTGGACATAAAATTGTTCAAAATTTTTGGGAAATCCTTACCTTATAATTCTGCACTATGAGGAGAGCTGTTTCAAAAACAGTAACAAACAATTGAATCAACCTGCAAGATAATGATTTGCATTCAATCAAGTATTAATTCTAGAGTTTATACAACATGCATTATCCTAATCCCTTGAAATTTGCCTCTCTGAAACCCTAATTTGACCAAAAATAACAATACCTCGGAGCACCCAGTTAATTCAATTTTTTATTGTTATTCTTGCTCGCAGAACACTACTGAGAAGTAACCAAAAGCTCAGCATACCTGACCTTGCCACTCGTTGCTGCTAGATGAAATGTGTCTTGAACAGAAATATGTTGATCTACCTTCAACTACACAGTGCAATAGTTTTCTAAAAGTCTTTGTTACGTCGTTCTATGAAATTAGCGGAATGGATGCCAATGAATAAAGTTTGGACATATCTTACTCATCAAGTGTTGGACATAAAATTGTCCAAAATTCTTGGCTACAATCGTCATTAAAAAAATTCTAACAGGCTGAATCTGATTTAAATATACTTGAAGCCAATAAAGTTTGGACATATCTTACTCATCAAGTGTTGGACATAAAATTGTCCAAAATTCTTGGCTACATTCGTCATCAAAAATATTCTAACAGAACAAAATTTTAGCTCAAGATTACATGCAATCAATAAAGATGCATACCTGTGAAGCTATGTCTATATCTATAATCTTCCTTCAATTGTGAAAGCAACATTTAAATCCCAACAAACACAAGCCACAATATAAAGTGACACAAGGTCAAAGAAAATTAGCCTAGGAATCTGTATTTTTTGAACATATTTGAATTTGAGAAAACAATGAATATCCATTTTTAATGTTAAACACAGAATTTCTCTGAACTGATAATGTGAACAGTGTTCAAAGACAAGATACATTTCATATGTTAACCAATCCACACACATAAAAAGCAAAATAATAGTAGCCTAGACATTACAAGCATGGCGAAGACGCCATTTTGTCACATATTATTTTGATTGGTTTGTATTTTTGCTATTTTGGACAATTTTGATGGTTACACATTATTCTTCAACATACAGAAAGTAGAATGTTTATTTAAAATGAATACATGATCTACCTTTTATCTAATGAATACCATTAGAGAAAATTAAAGCAAAAATGAAAATAAAACACAACTTACCAATTTCCTCCTGGTCTTCCAATACCCAAGAAGGTATGGACTCAACTGCAGCTGCCTGATTGGCTGAAAATGAATCAGCTTACCCATAGATCATAAACAACCTTGACCTTTACATTATTAGGGAGGGAAATTCAATTATGAAGAAATACACGTATGGACACATATTGATGGACATACTGGGGTCCGAACCTTTCTTGGGTTTTTCTTCTGAAATACCCAATAATGTCATGAAAAACACATCCCAATTTCAGTTGTTCTTGGGTATACCCAACAAGTCCCTAAGTACCCAACAAGTGTCCATTGTACTAAAATTTGACCCAACAGATAGCCATTCGTAAACACGGACAGACAGACGGACGAACCCATTTTAATAGTCCCCTGCTTTCTTCGAAAGACGGGGGACAATAAAGGGTGTGTGGGGCATTAATAATGATACACACCAAATTTTTTGTATAAAGATATGGTTTGTCATGTATTTCAATAAATTTCACAATATTTGTTATGTATTCTATTCACACCATTCAAAGTTAAATCCGATATGTAAAATTGCATGAAAGAATTAGGCCACTGCCTTTATAGGAATCTATTTAGGCAATAATAATTTATTGCTGCAGTTACCTATTTCGACATATTCACTATATTTTACTAAATTTCACTATATTTGTTATGTATTCTATTCACACCATTCAAAGTTAAATCCGATATGTAAAATTGCATGAAAGAATTAGGCCACTGCCTTTATAGGAATCTATTTAGGCAATAATAATTTATTGCTGCAGTTACCTATTTCGACATATTCACTATATTTTAAAGTCATAGTTTTAAACTTATATAGCTTCATTTTCAATATTTCTGGTCATTTATTATTCTATATTGAGTCCCACGTCATGATTTTTTGTAAAAAGAAACTATTTCAGAACATCAGTAATTTCTAATACACCTTTGATGTAACTTTTTTTCTTTTTTTTTATAAACAATATTTTGATGTAATTAAAATATCTATAGCTTATGTATGTACATAATCCATTGAGGTGTTTGTGTCCCTGACAAATTACAGTTTTTAAATAGGATACACAACATATCGTTATTAATTTACAGAGTCATGACGAATTTTAAATTTTATTAAACCAAAGTCGTCGTATAATAAGACAATGAATGTATTGGGAATAATATTATTGTTCTGTTCTGATTATAATTCTAAATGTACCTTTGGTTTATAATATACACATTATATAGTTACAAATGTTGCCCCTAAATAAAGTCTGGCAGCAGTTATATAACATCTAGGTCAACGTTGTTACAAGTTGATGATCAGCGAAGCGTATAGTTCGTGCTCTGGTGGCAGTTTGGTGATTATAATTAGAAATGTAAATTACTATTATGTGAATTGGAAATTCCTTTTAATAATTTAACAAATCCAAGAAGAACAACAAACAAACAACAAATAATCTGTTAATATTATTTGAAAAGACTTTAAATTTTCTAATAAAAGGATTTTTTTGGGGGGGGGGGGGGAGAAATATGCTGTAGAAAAATATCATAGTCCTATGATTTAGCAGTAGTCCAGGTAGGCTATGATAATGTCGGCATAGTAGCACATAAATCTCTCCTTTTCAATGCCATCACATATTTCTTGGCCTTATATTTCTTTGAATAATTTGAATAACAACTTGATAACGTTTCCCCGTCTTCACCCTGCACCAGTGATGGGATTTTGCCTGTACATTCCGGACTTGTCCGAATCTTTTTTCCAAACGCCCAAAATTGTCCGACCAGGAATATGCCCAATCGGACATCAAAACATGGTGAATAATATTCAAAATTCCAAAATTAATATAGTTTACTGAGTGTATAACTACCACTCAACCCGATTATCGTTGACTATTCATCAATTCAATAAGAATGATTATAATTTTAATCCACCTGTTTACCTCGTGGTTTCTCATTTGTCGGGCATCTTAATCGCATTGATGTGAGCCAACATCATCTATAATAAACTAATCATAGATGTCACATATCGTAAGCACAAATAACACCCTAAATCAATGGACAGTCATTTTGTCTACGATATCTTTTACGTCTTTTAAGAATCCATATAGAAATTCTCATCCACAGTGGCACTTTCCCTTGATCTCGAGCGCGGCACAAATATTGCTTAACATATTATTAGGCAGTGCTTACTATGAAGCTGTGTGATGTGAGTCACGTAGGCTATTAGTCTCTATTATCCAGAAAAATATTCTACGAATATGTTGAAGACTAGGAGTTTCTGGGTAACCGAGACTAGTACGCACCCAGCAAAATAACAAAAAGGGGAGGGGCTACCAATAGCTATATGAGCAGAAATTATAACGTATTTGTAGGCGGGAATTAAGAAGCATGTCAATCATTCTGCTGTGTTGCCTATGATGCCTGTCACTCTGTCGTGACTGTGAAAGAGTGTTATTCGCTGAAGTTAGCTATGCCTGTTTACAAGTGATTTAACTATTTCGGAAGTTCTGCATTCATTTGCTGCCGTATAAACGAAGACACGTAATTCTAAAGGAATATTATGGTTGTGAATTTGATGCCGAAGCAGGATCGGCAAGCTTTCATTCAACATATTACGAAAATGCTTACTGACATAAATTTGAATGTCGTACGGGAATTAAGTGTGAAAAATAGCGAGGTCACCAATTTTTATTACGTACGGGATTTGAATATTTTGTTGACATGTGGTTTTTAATTGTGGTATGAATTGAATACTGTACGGGAATTAAATATGAAAAATAGCGAAGTTCACCTATTTTTATTACGTACGGGATTTGAATATTTTGACATGTGACTTTTAATTGTGGTACGAATTCGTCTGCTTAAATAACGATAAGAGTTATGCGCCTTTATTTTCGGTAAAATGTCCGACAAGAAAAATTTTGAAATCCCATCACTGCCCTGCGCAGTCTTAAATTCCACCCAATTCGATGAAAAATAAAGTACATAATTCATACGTTACGATTTAATTAAAACATTTAATTATGAACGCATATAAAAATCAATAATGTGATAACAAATAATGGTATTGCTTATACTCTTTGTCTTGTCTAGTTCATTTCTTTGTTTGAACATTTTTCTGATTACAATATAATATAATGGCTTGGACATTTTTTTCGTTTCAGATACTAACCGAAATTTCCTATGAGAAAAAAAATGAAATGTATATATGTTAATAGAATATCAAGCTTTATTTAAATGGGATGCTCGAAAAGTGAACCATACATTTATCCATTGCAATAAGATCAAAACTGAATATACCACAGTATTCACCCACATTACAAAATTATTCTTTTTTGTTGTACTTATTGGAATAAACTGTAACAATGGCCAAATTCTAACCAACTTTATCAGCTAATCCTTTCGAGCACATGCTGTGTCTCGCCTCTCAACATCAAAGAGCAGAGCTAACTGTGTGTCGCCTCTCAACATCAAAGTGCAGTTCCGTGTGAAAAACGTGCACAAACCGACAGTATAAATTGTAAAATAAAGGCTGGATTCACAATCACAGAACCTGTGGTTTTTTAGTACCGTGGAGTAAAATAATAAAGCTATTTCATACAATAGAAAACAAGCGGCTATATGAACAAGCGTCTCAATATTAGGTCATATGTCAGTATTTTGTATGCAAAGAGGAGCTTGTTACACAGAGCTTGATCGAATCTGAATAATGTTCGGCAATGGGCATTATCACCGTGGGTGGAAGCGGGCGCATGTCCCTATTTTCATTAGTGTTATTTTATATGTGAATTATCATTTGTTATATATAGTGAGGAAATTAATTTTTCTTGGTAGTCCTATCTATGACCCAGGCAAGAAACTATACATTTATACATTAATACTCCCAAGCATAGTATAGTAAATATAGCAGTGACGAAAACTTACAAGTTTTCATTAATTGTGCGATTTTATATTTATAAACTTGCTTTCGAAACAGATTCGTTAATCTGATATCAATATCAATATATCGGATAATCAAATTGAGGTTGGTTCGAATATCGGGAAATGACGATACTGCGTGTGATCAATTTGAAGATACATGCATTTACAGTTCAGTGGTACACACGATAATTTGTAAACAAATTAAGCCCACAAAAAAGATCAAATATATAAATAACTGCAGCCAACTATGGTACGAAGAATAAAATTCGTAGTATTCATCAAGAAATGAAATACGTATAAGAACGCATATACGTAACTACCCCACGTATAAATCCATATATAAAGACCTACACTTAACAAAGACCGATCTGCGTAAAACACACGGTCAAACAAGAAATCACACGGTAAATTAGATTTAACACATACGTGTCAGATAAAGCCTGTTGATCCTTAATAAATCACCTTTGCTACAGTTATAATACGCTTTCGAGAAAACTCACCAAACAAAAAATACACACTGTGTCAGTCGTTTTTAACCCGTCCGTTAATTAACACACATAGTGCAGAAAACGCACCGTCATGGAGATATTCACCCCTAGCGATAATTAAATCACCTTTCAGTCAATTTCTCACCCCTGTTAATTAACACGCCGTATCTACAGATTTTAGCCTCGTGGTATTAGATTTTTTGCGATAATTAGAATTTTACCGATATTTGCAGAAATTTACTGTGCCCTGTTTGCACAAAACTCACGTTTGATACTTCTCATGTATGCTGTAACTTTTTTACTTTGTGTAGAAACAACTCCTATATTTTAAAGAGGAATGTCACACTTTTCAGAAGAAAAAAAAGATAGGTTGCCAGGCAACGAAACATACGCCCACAGCAGCTAAATCGTCCGGGCAGTCAATGGCTGTTAAGCGTCATATAGGAATCTAATCCAGCCAACATCGAAGGCTAGCCTTGACATCGAGAGTTTATAATGGTCTGGATAAGTTAATTAATGTCTAATTGATAATTTAGATAACATTTCAGGCCTAAAGAAAGACTTGTAATAAGCAGATTTTGCTCTTGCATAATACATGTTTAAATAAGTCTGAGCCAAGTTATAACTGTTTGTAGTTTAGACAAGATGTGTGCATTGATTGTTTATTATCGTAACCACAGTATTGGTATATATGAGACTTAGACTCACTCCTCCATTTTGAAATTAAATCATTAAATGGCCCAAACATTCTAATCTACCCGTAGTTAAAATCTTGAGCATTTAAGGCCTAAAGAAAGACCTACAATAGGCAAATTTAGCTCTTGAATAATGCCTCTTTAACTTGATTATAACATCTAAATATTCTCCAGTCTACTGTGTATTAACA